TAGGGAGATTTGTTAACATCAGGGTTAAAAACAAATTTCAGCACTTGGAGGAGTTTTTTGCAAACTAATAACCAGGAGAGAACTCCTAAATGTGGGAGGGCAAATGGTGATAGGAATGTGTGGATGCTTCAAATGCAGTAGTGAGAGGCTATTGTTCCTGCACTGTGCTGTAGGCAGGAAACATCTGTTCTTTAAAATTTCCATGATTTAAATGCATCAATATGTTTACAGCTTCAGGGTAAAGGTAAGTCAAAGGGTTATTTTTCCATGGTCAGTTTTTGGCACGATGTATTTTTCAGCCCTGTTGATACCTAGACTGGTGGATAATAACTTTCCTCCAAAGCTAATCAATAGTTAAGGATGAAATTAAAAATGTTGGAAACGTGGAATAAGTTCCTCAGAGCCAATATTCCTCTTTTTTTTTATCAAGTAATTTCAAAGTACAACCACAGAGACTTAACGACCCAGGAGAGCTTTACAGAGGATCTTGATGTGACTAATAAATATTGACATTTGCGTGCAAATTAGAGCTGAAATGTCAGAGTGGAGCTGCTGTCGCTGTGCCCTGGTGGCAGTGGCAGACAGGATCCTCCATCTCTCCCTGCTGGGAGCCCCTGGTGACACTGGTGGTGCCTGTGGGCACATCAAAGCTACCACGGGCCAGGAGGCTCTGATGAATGGCTCTAATGCTCTTTTTTTTTGCAGCCCTGGGAGGGAGTGGAAGGAGAGGCTGAGCCTGGAACAGTAATGTGGATTTTAAAGATCCTTCCAACATGTTTTCTGGCTTTCCTGGTCCTTAGTCTCCTTCTTTGAGACAGACACACAAAAATTGTGCAGAATCTCTTGTGATGCCTCTGTTAAACAAGCCTAAACTCAAGAAACATATTTCTGCATTATGAATGGGATGTGACACACTCTGGTTAGATCCTGTCAGGTTTTTCCTCTGGAATCCATTCACTCCAACCCCTTTTCCTGGGTCCAGTCTCCAGCAGATGGTGCCACAGCCCACAGGAAGCTCCTCATCTCCTTTTCCCCATGTTAGCACAGTGACAGCAGCACAGTGTCACCTTCAGTGTGGTGCTCACACCTCTGCAGGTCCTCACACGAGGGTTGTAGGAGCAGCTGAGCTGAGGGTTGGGTAATGCTCTGCCATCCTGTGCCATCCTGTGCCATCCTGACTGGCTCTGTTCTTACCTGGGTGCTGCCTGCACTTTATTCCCAGTCTGGAATAAAGAGTTACACACTTGCAAAAGCAGGAGGAAGAGCAGATTACCTGGAAAGAGCAGCAGGAAAGTCCTGACTGTTCCACAGTCTCAGGGTGTGGGTAAAACTTAGAGAACAGATGCTAAATGGAGCATAGTGAAGCATTTATAGTCTGATTTATAGTGGTTTTCTTCTTGCATGTGTCTAGGAACTTGATGATTTCTTGGTGGTTTTTGTTGTTGATTTTTCCTTTCTGTTTGATAGGAGGTTTTTGGTATTCTGAGTTTTGTTTGTGTATATTTTAGTACTGTAGATATGTGGATAAGGATGAGAATCTCCTCCCATGAACCTGTTGTTTCATCTTTACTCAACTTTCTTTTTTTTTTTTTCATGGAATCACAGAATGGTTTGGGTTGGAAAGGACATTAAGAGTCATCTATTTCCTGCCATGTCCTTTATTTGCTGTTGTTTCTGTGGCAAATAAGGAGAAACAAAACCACCCTGCAAACAGTAAAACCCACAGCAACTTTGTGTGAAGAGGTTCAAAATCAGAAAGAAGTGGAAATTATAGATGGAAAGTTGTGTCTAGTAACTATCAGATCTTAAAAGTTCTTGGGAGCTTTTATTTCTATCTCACCTCCTGAGAATTTTGGGGAGATGCTGGAAAATGGCTCATATCCCTCTGAGAGGGGTTATACTTGTAGAGTTTAGTCACTTCTGCTTATAATTGGAAGAGAAATCATATGATCTGCTCCAAATTTTTCCCAAGGAGTTCAGGTGTTGCTGGTTAAAAATCCAGGCAGGAACATGCTCTGCACCTGATTGTTTTGTTGCTTTGTAAATGTCCTTTTTACCCTCCTCAAAAAGGAGGGGAAGGATTTTTATCCAACCATTCCCTGTTTGCACAGGTCTTTGATAGTCACTAGCTCTGTCAACCTCCTCCCCAGCTGGGGGAAAATGAGGATTTTGAGGACAGACCATGTTTGGAGCAAAAGGTTTTCCCATTCAACAGAGTTTTCCTCTCTGGATGACAGTGTGTGACACGGGATGAGATGGATTGTGACAGGATGCCACTGCTGGTTTGGCAGTGCTCTCTGCTCTTCCCTTAAGCATAAGGCAAGAGTATGCCACTTGCCCAAGTCATTTCTTCCTTGTTCTTCACTCTGACAGCTCCTGTTAATGATTTCTCCAACTCTTCTGTGCACAAAGAGTGAATCCGAGGACCCCTTTGAGCAGATCTGGAATTTTCCAGGTAGCTGTGCTTTGGTAGGGATTGCAGCCATGCCAGAGCTCAGCTGGGGGAGCTCTTGGACTGCACTGCTGGAATTCCAGTGGTGCAGCCTGGCTTTACTCAAGGATGGCTAAAATGTTCATTCCCTTGCGCCGGCACCACCTCTGTGGAAATTTCCCAGCTTTCTTCAGCCTTTTTATAGACTCTGTGGCTCTGACAGTGATCATCTTGGAAGCACCTCAGGGAATAACAGGAGTGTGGAGAGTTACAAAGTCTACCAGTTTGGGGTTGAGCTCTAAAATAAGAGGCAGAGTTATTGTTTGGCTGTCAGAGAGATTTCTGTAGTGAAACCAAGGACTCTGTGTGTTTGGTACTATTCTGCTTCAAAATTGCCTGTTAAAAACCATAACTCTTTCCTCATGTCTCTCATAAATTATCTTGGGCTGCTTTAATCTAGCTGTCACCCTGCAGGGCAGTGTGTGGGAGGGGTGAGCAGCACCAGCTTTTCCTCATGAAGGGAAGGTGAGGGAAGAGTTGGGTTTTACAAGAAATCTCTGTGTGTTTCATAGAATCACAGAATAGTTGGGCTTGGAAGGAACCTCTGGGGATCATCTTGTCCAACCTCCCTGCCCAGGCAGGTCACCTAGAGCAGGTGACACAGGTGGGTTTGGAGATTCCACACCCTCTCTGGGTATTCCAGTGCTCTGCCATCCTCTGTGGAAAGAAGTTCTTCTTCATGTTGAGGTAGGACTTGTTGTGGTTTTGTTTGTGGCCATTGCTCCTTGTCCTGTCGCTGAGCACCTCTGAACAGAGTCTGGCACCATCCTGACACCCCTTGGAGAGATTTGTATGGATTGATGGGCTCATCTTTCAGTCTTGTCTTCTCCAGACTAACCAGGCCCAGCCCTGCAGTCCCTCCTCACAGGAGAGGGGCTGTGGAAGAGGTGAAGGACCTTCTGAGGGTGTTCTGTTTGAACCCCAAGAAACCACCTCTGTGGGCAGAGAAATCTTGTTTCCTGGGTCAGGGAGGATAGTGCTGAGCATTGCTTTGTGTCTTCCATTTCTGTCTGAGCAGTGTTGGGTTTTGCCTCTTACAAAGCAGGTGCTTTGGGGCCTGCAGGTAGGAGAAATGTCTGTGGCTCAGCAGCTCTAGGTGGCTCCTTTGTACAACCTAATGAGCATCTGCTTGGTCATACAACTCCTTGATTAATGTGTGTCTCTGTCACTGCAGAGAAGTCCTGCTGCCAACTCTTCCTTGTGCTGTTCTTGCCATCAGCAGATCAGGACAGGCTGCAACACTCTGAGGTGTCCACACAGGGAGAGGAAAAATGTTTTCCCTGTTAGGGTGGT